TCAGTGTATTTTGAGACGATGGTATTTATCGCTCCCTGCAGTTTTCGTGGCTTCACACACGTTGTTTCATCAGCACTCATTTGAAACACCGATCGATTTACTGCCTATTTGTGATACTCATAAAAGGAAGAATATTTAAATTGCTTATTTCCATTTCAGTACAGCACATTCAAATAATATGCCTAGCAGTAAAGTACCTAAAAAATTCAGCTGTAGGAATTCAACTGATATTTATATCGTAAAATATAGACATTATCCTTACTGAATTTTTAACTCTTTTGCAGGACATATAAGAACGTTTACTTCCAGTAAAAATTATCGCTGGAAAAAGTTACCCTTAGTTTTCTTTGCACATTGGGTAAATCTTTATACATGTTATTCCAGTTCTCTACCGTCCAATCATAATGTTTTAAAATCATTTCAACAGCGAGCAAGTCGGTCATTGCATCACCCACCACTGTATTTAATAGTTTGGAGAAATAAAGTAGCCTTTTGATTTGAATTGTCTGATCAACTTCATCTTTATGAGTGATTACTGTCCTGGAAAACTGCTTTCCAGTTTCTAACTTATAAAATACTACAGAATTTCTACGTCTAAAACATTGTTTCCCATAGCAGATTCTACAATAACCAACCAACGCCTCATAAATGAAAACAAACCAAAATAAAAGATAAACCGAAAGGATATATTTAACAGTAGAATGGTAATGATAACAATCAGAAACCTTAAAATATCATAGAATCGAGGGCTAAAATATACAGTCCCATGTCCATTTGCCTCGAAATATACCGCAATATCATACTTCACCGCTTCTTTTTGTAAGTTTTTAATTCCTGTTGCAACACAACATACGTGAACACCCTGAAATTATTAAAAAGTTAAATATATTAATAAGTGCGCTCTTTCGCACACATGAATAAACAACAACTTGTCTAACTTACATCAGAGTTTCAGTAGCTGATATGCTGAATTATTACGTTATAACTCTAATGCAAAACATCTCTGTCAAAATTTTGGGACATACACCACAAACTACTGAAATTTAAATCCGAGAATGGCTATGGGAATATTTTTTGTCGGTTAATATCACTGATAGTAAATATTAAAGACAAATATTTCAACATCTACACTCACCATTTTGTCTCTGAGGAATTTGGTTGAGTTACCATTTGCATAACCCGTTTGTATTACTGATACCATAAATACATCACTGAATCCCGCACCAGTAACCTGCTGCAAGAAACAGTTTCACGGCTTTTGCACTTCCTAGATGAATTATCAGATCCAGTGTAACTGCGTACCTCTGTAATATATTTCGCGAAAAGAGCTGCTATTTTATCACCATCAATTAAAACAAATTCATTCGAAGCATCACGATAAAAATAAACAAGACGGTCTGCATCACCATCAAAAGCCGCACAGCGTTCAAAAGCTTGTATTTTGTCGAAATTGCGCGGAAATTTCTTTTCTATTTTAACATAGTCTGCCCCACACTAAAAGCAACATTAGACAAACAAATGCAAAATACTAAACTTATAATCATCAATTCATGTGTCGTATTTTTGATATTATTCAGTTTCAGCCACATGTCAAAAGCACACTCAAATCTCTACGTCAGAGCTATTTATTTTAATTTGACCCACCACCCCTTTTATGAAAATCAACCAAATCGTAGATTAAGGTTATACTTGTGTAAGAATAATGCTACATTTCCAGTAAAGCTCTTCATACACATTTATAAATTCAGACATCTCAGTTTTTTTATTAGAACCACCATGTTGGATGTTTCGTACTCTACCTGACATACGAAATGGCATAGTTGAATGAAATCAAATGAGAATTGAAAATTTCTATTGAGAAAAGCATATTTATACAACCACCTTTTTTCTACGAAAACTGATGGAAAATAATGCCAATAAATCCATGCTCAATGCTCATATTAAAGACACCTTATCATTGAGTTGTGTTTTTTGATCGTTCATCAAATTGACAACCAAGACAGACCACCTTATACACATCAGGGGAAACTTCTGAGCACCAATACCATTTGCACAATCCAAATATAGCGTTGGAATATATGCTTTTCCACATCGTGTAACCTGTTGTATTGCTTTTCAGCTTTGAACCTATTTGTGATCAGTGGTTATAACTTGGAACTACCAATTTGAGGAATGACTTGTAATCCGGTACAGTACTGTGAAAGCTTACGAAATTCAAACCAGCGAGAGCATTCTGAACTTTTGCATAATATCCAGCCTCCGTAGGAACACCATATGAGGAATCATTTTGGCAGCGAACAATATAGTGCAACTGAGGAGTTGTCAGTAGACCTGAAATTATGTCTAACAAACATTCAAGCAAAACAAAAAATTTCTAACTTAAGTGAAACTATGGAAACGAAACTATGGTGCACTAGTGATTACAGTGACTGAACCAAATTATTATTTTTCTGATTTTCTAGTGTTTCAAGACTCATGATTTCAGTTTCTTACCAGTTATGCAAACCTCAACGAAAAATACTACTTTTACAGTGCAGAGAAGCTCTCAGTGTTGGTTAGACGTGTGAACCTCTCAAAGCAATTTTAACATATCAGCTGATCACCTGCTCATATCAAACTATTCTTAGATTGGGTTGTCACTCTTTTGTACTATCTGGCTTCAATTCGCCAGCACATGAGATATGACGATGAGTTGGTTCCCACGGAACCAACTTAAATAGGGGAAATTTAGCACTATAGTTTATCCTCACAACGATTACAAGTTCTCGGCTTCTCTACAAAAAGTAAAGAAATTCTGTACTTCAGTTTCACAGCATGCCATCCACCCAAAAAATATTAAATTAATTACCCAGTCTTCGACCAACAACTCTGGCACACTGCGCTCCGCAGAATGCAGCTTCTTCTATATATTTTGAACTTGGACGCGTATCGATAGCTGTAAAAACAGTAGCATTTTCAACGACTCTTCCACTGAACTGTCGTAGAAATTCTTGTGACTTTCGCAGAAATTCACTGTCACTGAACACAGAAACCTTTTTTCATAATTATGTACATATAATTATCAGGCAATGTTTCACAACACAAAAGAGTAAACGATCAGACTTAGGAAAACAATAAAAAGAATGCAAGTGGCAAGGAAAAAAAAGAACCTGGAATTAACAATCAAATCTGCATAGTTTTCCCATGCGGCATCTAGCATGCCTCCCATTGGATCGATTATTTTGACGCCATTATCTTCCATCGGATTGTGTGATGCTGTTATCATTACACCTATAGTTTGATTTAAATACCTGAAACAACTCACCCAACCAAATTAAGGACCTCGAACAGTGAGTTTAAAAAAACACTAATAAATAAATTTTGTTCAGACACGAAAAAAGGGAAAAAATACAAAGAGAAATATTTAGCAAAATGAATTCCAGCTATTCAAATTAGATGGGAATGCCGACATTATTAGGTAACGAAGTTAGTAAGTAAAGAATATTCTGTAGTCAATACTACATTGGCTACATTTTGATAATATGTGTAGATAATATTGAAGTAATAAACTTCAAAATGGAATACCTGGCACGGATACCAGCTAGATATCCAACACGAAATACAATAAAAGGCAGATAAGTAGCATTAGCTCGAAAACCGGCTGTGCCATAACTAAACTTTTTTGTGAGAGAAACTGGCACTTTTCGCCCATTATGGTCAGTATTACTTTCTCGAGTATATATTTCTGGAATAATTATTTCAGCCATCTTCTACAGGTTCTGAAATTTCCGCGAATAATTAGCAGTGAAACAGTAAGAAACACAAATAACAACGCCAACACTAATGCCAATAATGTATGGTATGATCCGGTTTTGAACCAACAATTCCATATATTCAATACTTTGTAGTAAAAAAAAGCACTACAGATCTATAATGTAAACATTTTAAAAAGGTGGTTATGATTACTCCAAACAAATTCTATGTTACCCATTTCAGAGAGTTTACTCATGTACTGAATAATTCGTACATTATTTGTCCATATTTCCGTTCGCAAGCCATTTAAAAATACCTTAGCACCATTAGTACATCAAAATTCACGAAACGACTTCTGCTCCACACATCGTGTTCCAAGACAACCAGAGCTATTTATATAGCACAAAAACATGACGAATACAGAAAATGCGTTCTATCAAAAATAGACCTGTATATTGTCAACAGAAATGCTCCCATCAGCTATTCGTCTTCCTTTCCTCCTGTCCTAATAACAGGTTGAGCCACACCAAACCATTTGAATTTTGATAGTTTACCGCACGAATTTGGGAAGTTTTCTTATGAGATATGCAAAGAACTGATAAGTAATGTTAGATGGAAATCCACCATTTTCTTAATCTCCTTCATCCTGAAAACTGCCACAGGGATTTCCATGCATCCAAATAGACCTACTCAACGTTTGTTTATGCCGTATGTGCGCATTATGTCACAGGTGCGTTTCACATAGAGCTATTTCAACCCCTCAGGTTGTATAGACATTACTAGTGTCAGAAGGCTTCTGTTTGTTTTCAAGCATCCTTGAATTTCGCCTGATATCCAATTTTTTCTAATGAATAAGAAGACAATCTTTTCTTTAGAATAGAGATTTAAGGATGACAATCGAAAATTGCGCAGAACTCATCACTAGTGCAAATTAAAATTTTAGTAGTTTTTAATCAGATCAATTAATAAAGTACAAAAAGGGCGGTTGAGTAATGGTCACTAATTCTTTCCTTTCTATTTCTTCGCAATTATCGTAGCGCTTCCATTTCTCTTGGCTCTCAAATTTGATGCATCAGGACAAATAGAGTCCAAAAATATGTTTCAGGAAGATTACTTCCAAAAATAAAAGACTTAAAGAAGAATAATGTTTTAGTCTAGATTTTGCAGCTTAAAATAACTTCCATTATCTCAACGTTACTACATCATTCACAGAGATCCACAAGTAGAATTTAACGTAAATCAAACATGCTCGGTCTAAAATACAATACTTATTCACGTAAGTACTCCTTTCTTGCGACCAATACCGTGACATACGATCGTAATGCAGCAAATGTTACATTCAAATATGCAAACAGGCATGCAACAAGACAGCCAAGAAATACAACTGCTTGAATGCTACAGGTACTGTGCGGTGTCAATGTTAATAGAGAATGTGGTACCGGCATCATTACTGGTTGTAGATTTGATACTGTTAATAGATCCATTATATATGGGTTCCATTATGTAAACTAGCCACAGTATTGGTATGGAATTCACTATCTAAAAAAGATTCTCATAAAGTTCAGAATGAGGCGTCTATGTTGAAATTTTGTAAGAATCGTGTTCGCTTCAAAAAGATTCATGTGCACAAAACACAGCAGCAGTTTGCACTGGTGATCCACACCACAACATGTTAAAACTACATGACAGCTAGCGCTTATCATACTACTTATCAGTTCCCAGCTCAATTTGTGAATTTGTCAATGTCATTGGCTGAGGTGAAGTGTGAATTCTGTGTTCTGAAATGAACAGAATGACAGAATTTTTAGTACAAATGCTATCAGATACCACAAAGCTCCATATGTCTGAAGGTTTGGGGTTCTGTGAGCTTGATTTGCTGATGTTACTTTTGTTCATGAAAGAGTGAATTTGTACTGAAACGCAAATTGCAGTGCTTTCCGTTTAAGAAAAAGTAACACTGTTGTTCTCTGAGAAAAAGGTGAAAGTAGAATCGAAAAAGTCAATTGCTAATGTTTTTTTTCCTATCCGTTACGTGTTTTTGATGCAGAGTCCCTTTGGTGGAATAATTCGTGGAAAGTGGAACCATCCTATATATTTTTTTTTTTTTTTTACAATCGAAAAGCAAGTGAAGGAGCTCCATTACGCACGTTCTAACCTCTCGATTTATATTGAATATCTATCCTCTTCGTTTCCCATATTTCAAATTGAAACGGTAGGCTTTTGAATTTTTTACCCTGACTTCCAAAACTTCAAAGATGAAATGTCCTGAATCATAAAGTTCCGGTTATTATTAATATCACAGCTTCCTGTACATTTATTTTTGAAACATTGAAGTTTGGTGGATTCATATTAATTGCAAAGAAAAAAAAATTACTGTATAATAGTTCAGATTATTACCTCCCTTCAGATATTCGCTCACTTTGTAAGGGACTATGTATAAACGGTTTAGGGTGTAAATGTAAACAATGTGAATTCAAACATTTGCACGCATGTTTTTTACAATATCTTAGAGTTTCGCGACATTAGAAATTTGCGATACACTTCTCACTTTTGTTACGCCATTATCCTGTCCTTGTTGTGCTGAAAAACTTCCACTGTAAAGTACTCCCCAATCGGCTCTGCAAACTACTCAAATTAAACCCTATTTCACGTCACCATCAGTGCGAAATGATACACACAAGCTTATTCTCAAGAAATTTCGTTGTTTTCAATTGAAGTTAGTTTTTCAATTAAAGTTAGCAAATTAGTGGAAGTTTGAAAAAAATGTCTGGGTTAGAACTATTCTTATATATAGCACAGATTCAGATGAATCTAAACATTTCTCTAATTTCCTCGCTTTCTCTCCGAACACCCGTGATATGTTTGAATAGGGTCCGAGTCATTATTTGCCAATTCTCGATAGTACGCAGTGCGGCCGAAAGTATTCAACTGTTGGAATGAACCGTAACGATACTTTGTGGGTAGTATAGTGTGGTTTATATTCTTATTTTGGAATTCATGTTCTGATTTATATAGTCTTAAGAAATTTATTTAGTTTTATAGATCTTTTTTCAAAGCTACCATAGTGATCGTGGAAGTAAGATCGATGTTATGCGTATCATTGGTTTCTTCATCTACTAAATTTCAGAATATCTGTGAATACATATTATGCCAGTTTTCGAAATAAATATTGAGCATTGTCATTTAAGCAGTGTGACTATAGGATCTTATTTTGCAGATGAAGGCGAAATTTTAGAGATGACTGAACAAAGGAAATTTCTGATTGCATCTCGCATGTGTTTCCATTCCACTGATCACAGCTGGTTAAACCATCGTCAAGGTCGAATGGTTAGCTGTCATTTGCCCATCGTGCTCAGCATGATTTCGTGTCTTTTTGTTTTCTGCAAACAATTTATAAGGATAATTTTTCTTCGTAGTTTGAAAATGAAAAGAAATATGGAATTGGATTTATGTTCCTTTTAATGAGACAACTTGACTTGAAACTTTACCTTTAGTTTTATGTGTCTTCACTGTTGTGCATAATAATGCCACAGTGATTGTAAAGCATAATACATACGACAGTGATTGTAAATGTATTTTGTACTCACAGCAGATGATATCTATCACTGTTAAAAAAGCTGCTGTTAGAAATTGGAGCTTATAAAGGTTAGTAATTACTGGACTTAAATCCATTCTTCCTGCTACAATTAAATTATTTATGTACACTTGGTTTTCTTAAAAAACTTAAAGTTTTCGGAATTCTTATACTGATAGCATCTCGCTCTGCAATGAAATGATAGGTGCGGAGAATTTTAACAAACTTGATCATCTGCAGCAACTGCTTCTGGAAGAAATATGTAGTCACATTCGTAGAAGGTATTTCAAATTTTTACTTTTTTCGTTTCCTTTCATTCTTTTGTTAGAAGTTTATGTTGCTTGAGGAATTTCTGATGGAACCAAAGAATTAACCTCTAGGTTGCTAAAATTCAGTGCACTAAAATCTGTTAAAGACTTGCAGATCTCTCCATAAAGTATTCTCTTAAACACACAGTGCCACATTTGGATGATTCCGATGTTGAATCTTTATTAAGGTAACTTTTTTTTTGTCTCTTTGTGAATCGTTGCTTTATAATTTTTCTACATTTCTTTTTCTTTAATATCTAGAAATTAACATATTCTTCCTTAATATAGCCTTTCCTTCTCAGAGAAGGAAAGTGCTACATTGAGCATACACCAATTACGAATTTCGTCAATTTTGGATTTCCTTTCAAGATTTCCAAAATCTTTCAGGCCTCCCTGATGTTTAATGTTTCAGAGATTACGCGTTACACTGTGTCCTATAGATTCCATTGATTAGTCGATAAAACAGAGCGTCTTCCAAGTGCACATTTATTCTGTTTGTAAACTATTTGATCAAATGTAGTTTAGTGTTCAGAATGATAGCGCTACGAAGCTCTTGTTTTTGTGCAGTATACTTCAATAATGATTTCAGAAAATCAGTAACTTATGTTCAGTATCGCGGATTTATGCGTGCAATTTTTGGTTATCTGCTACCACTTGATTTAATCGGAAAATATAATACGAGACTTGTTATCGATCGTATTTCATCTACTCTCTTTAACCTTGGGTGTATTTTTTCTCTTCGCTGAAGAAGTAGCTCGGTCTTTTTGTTTGAATGGAACTTTTCCCTTCATATGACTTTACAGATTTCGTCTAACATTTTTTTTTTGAAGTGAGAAACAGTTGTTTTGTTGTTGATTTGTTGTTGAGATTAATAATCAGCTTTTACTTTTTAGGTACGATGAAATTGTAAGGTTGAGTGATCTTTTCTCCATCCCGTTCAAAACTTCAACAATAAAATGGTTAAGAAATTTGCCATCTTACGAATTATGCTCTATACATCGAAAATTCTTGCTTTGGTTTCTAAGAACCTCTTTTCATATCACTAAGTGAGCTTTTGAAAGTTTCTCGTTAAAAAGTTGGTAAGAATATCAGCAAAGAGAAAATCCTTAGTACATATTTGAGAGCAATATGATAGGAATAAGTTCGAGGACAAAGAAAACGTTAGTGGGACAACGTTAATGGTATTATTTGTATTGGTATGTATATTTTCGACTCAAAATCGATCTTATGATCACTTCCTCTTAATGTGTAATTTAATACGATTTAATGTTAGCATTTAGTTGTGTTATCTTTGCTTAGGGCTGCGTTTTATGTAACACCGGAAAACACAACAAGACTATTACGTTTTTATCGAAAAGATATATGGAAACGCATCGAAAATCACAGCTTTCAGTTGTTATCTGAGAAAAGGGACCTAAAGAAAGTGAAAGGTTGTTTTAATGTGACTTTATCGTATACGATGTTTCGATATTCTGTGCTGCGGAACATGTGAACTTTCTACTTTAGCAATCTTAAAGTTGCATATAGTATCTTCTTATATTTTAAGAAGTGGAGAAAAGTACAGTTGGAGCACAGATTCGGTTTTTACCAAAAAATTCAGGCACACGATCATTAATTGTGCCAAAAGGAAAAAGCTTTCAAAGACAGTATTCGGCAACTGCGTTGAAAATAGCCTCAGTAGTTATTGATCTAATATGTGCAAAGCAACGCAAATATTCCAAGAAACTTCCTCTTACTGGAGCTGCTATTTGGAATGGTAAGTGCATAGATTTCCATTTCCATGCAAAGTATATGCAAGACTAGCTCAGATATACTTTATTATATTATACTAGCCTACTGATACGTCTTCATTGTTGTAATAATTCGTCATAACAGAAAATTATAATGCTATTGTCTAAATTTTGTATCTGTTCAGTCTTGTGTAATTCTTGTAATGAATGGGTACTTCTTTATTTGATTTCGAGAAAAACGTTCTTATCATTTTAGCATAGCTTGTTTTATTCCTCATTTGAAGCTTGGTGTATTTTCTCTTGTTTTATCATTTCAGGCATTGGTGCATTTCCCAGACGTTTTCGACGGTTCATGCAAATGAATAGATCGACAAGAATTTATGCTGTTAAAACAGATGTTCGAGATTGTTTCCACTGCATTAATCAAAATCTCTTACGTTCTATACTGAAAAAACATATCTTGTTAACTAAGTGCGCGTTTAAATTTTATGCAGTTTAATGTTTTTGCAAAAACTGTAATTGTAATTGTTCATGATGTTGATGTCATTATTGTAGTATACTTCGACTTGAAGTTCTGTAGAGTTCCTTCTGTCTCTACTTAATCACTTTCATATTTTAACTATTTTCCGTTTAATTTAACTGTTTCATAATTTCGTGATTTGTTCTTATTCCAAATATTGTTTGCTTATCAAATGCTTTTCCTTAATCCGTGTAAAAATGAAAGGATTAGATTTTAGACATTTTCGATTGAATGCAAGTGTGATTGGGACAAGTTCTTTGGTGTTTGCTCGACGGTTTGGTTTCGGATGTGAAATTGATGACCATAATTGCAATCTTTTGGAAGTAAATCGTCTCATCTTTCCCAACGGTTT